ACATTCCTGTTTAGCTAACATAAATGTTCAGAAAGAGTGTATTTGCCTGTCTTTTTCAAAATGTGTATCATCATTGCTAGAAGTTTCTTTGCTGTTTCGGTTCTCTGATGTATTAGCAACCAGTTATTGTCACAAGGTAGTTATTCATATCCATTTGTGAAGCTAACTTCAGTCCAGGGCAAAAGTCATGTAAATTAAGAGTAGCAAAGTGCAGTCACTGATCACTTAATCATAGATGTCTGGGAGCTGGACATAGTTTTTAAAGCACCTTCATGGCACTAGCACAGTGTGAGTGTGAAGCTGAGCTCTAAAGCAGACAAAACCACCCTGGAAAACAGTCATTTCAGCAGGAGAGGATTTTATGTGGGTTGGAAATCAAACCCAATTTGCCCTCAACCTCTCCTCCAGCTACTGAGTGTGAACAAGGGAAAGGGTGAACAAGGTGCATTGACCTTCACCCACCATTTTTGTTCCCCCATGTTGTTGGCAGCTGGCAGAAGAAGGTTGCAGGGCTGCTTGAATTTACTCCAGGCAACAAAGAGTCAGTCAGAGGCTCCAGGACAGGAAGGGAGTGCAGTTATATTTTACTCTTTCCATTTGTCACCCCACCTCCTCCAGCCTGCTTTGTGTAATTCATGCTCACAGGCCTGATATGGCTTTACATGGGAAAGTATTAACCTGAAGATTATGTAAAGGGGAGGCTGAGGGCTTAGTAGGTGCCCTATTAGTACTGCCAAATGTGGAGCACATTGCTGCATTACAGGGAGTCCAAGAGAGCTTTCTCCCCTCATGGCTGAAAACTGAATGTGAACTAAGGACTTTATATGACAATGACCTATTAGATCATCTAATCATTTTTCCAGGTCAAGACAAGATTATCCATGCTGTATTTCTCTGTACTCTGTCTAGCTCAAGTGCTTTCACCAAAAAGCCTTGCATTCCTCTCCAGCCCTACAACCCGCATGACAAGGGATCTACACATCACTTTGCTAATGAAGCAATTGACTTAAAAAGAGCTTTGAAGCAGAGTCAACAAAGCATTTGGCATGGTATGCTCCCAGATGCCAATACGATATGAGCATTGTGTATTTGAATACCAGTGAACTAATATGTTCCAGTTTTGCAGCCTTAAAGAAGAAAAAGAAATAAAGAAAAACAGAGGCAGTGCTGTGACCTTCTCAGTGAAACCCTCAAACAGAGCTGGGATGAAACAATATGGCCTATTCCTCTTGTGTTTTGATTTTCCTGATTGTCTTCAAGTTACATGATTTGTATTGAATCACAGATCTGGGATAACACAGATGGTAAGGCCAGTTATTTCATGACAGGAGATGCAAATAAAACTCATGATGAACAGAGGCAACATTGGAGCACATTGTTCCTGCTCAGTTATGTTCTCTGTCCACTAAGTGGCTTTGTAAAAAAGCAAAAAAAAAAACCAAAAAAACAAAAACCCACAACAAGAACAACAACAAACAAAAACAAACAAACAAACAAAAACCCCCAACCTTTTGCATCACTAAAAGGAATAAAAATTATTCCTTTTACAGGGAAGAATTGTATTACAGGGATGCATCTGGCAAGGCTAGAGTAGTTGTAGTAGAGAAGAAATTTTGTGGCCATGCCTTGGAAACAAGGTAGCACTAGCACACACTGCTTTCGTTAAAGCAGCAGGTGAAGATATGGTTAATAAACTGAGATTTTAAAAGATATTTGAAACTCCTCAAAGTCACTGAATAAATAACCAAATATATCACATCAGAATATCTGATGCACAAATATGTATGTAGTATGTGAAGCTACTATCAACTTTGTCAAGTATTTCAATTATACTCTGTATTTTGTCGAAGTATATTGTCAAGAT